CTCTCTCTCTCACTGTCCACTCTGCCTGTCAAAAAAAAAAAAAAAAGAAGTTCAGAGTTGGTGAACTCAAGGGGCCACGCAGCATCAGGGGAGGTAACAACTGATGATGAGTGTACAGACATATGGCTGGTCCTGTAGAAAGTCGCCCTGTAAAATGACCTTTTAAGTAATTGGTTGGTCCTTAAGGCCTGCCCCAGTAATCATGTGGTCTTGTGCTTTAAAAGGCTTTGCCATGTGCCAATAAACGGAGTTCTTGCTTGCTTGACTTGACTCCCCGCTGCGTCTGATTGTCTCCGGGATCGGGAGGCTGGGGAACGGGCGAGCAGCGCACTTACCTTTCTTCAGACCCAGTCCATCCTCGTTCGGGTGGACTAAGACCCTGCAATGCACCTGCCCCCGATGTAAGATCTCTGTCCTTAATGTGTTTTACTATGAGAGTTAATGATAACACTATTAGTTGAACAGTACTCTATATCGTGTGTGGGTGCAGTCTGTTGAAATCTTTGCTAGGTACATACTAAGTTGATCTTTTGTATATAAAGTTAATTGAAAATGAAACCTGATGAAGAGTGGGATGAGAGAGGGAGTGGGAGATGGGAGGGAGGGAGGTTGAGGGAGGAAAAGCCACAATGCAAAAGTTGCTCTTGGTAAATTCACATTTATTAAATAAAAAAAAAAGAAGTCTTGGGGGCCGGTGCTATGGCATAGCAGGTAAAGCCGCCACCTGCAGTGCCAGCATCCCATATAGGAGCTGGTTTAAGTCCCAGCTGCTCCATTTCCAATCCAGTTCCCTGCTATGGCATAGGAAAACAGTAGAGGATGGCCCAAATCCTTGGGTCCCTGCACCCGTGTGGGAGACCTGGAAGAAGCTCCTGGCTCATGGCTTTGGATCAGCACAGCCCTGGCCGTTGCAGCCATCTGGGGAGTGAACCAGCGGATGGAAGATGCCTCTCTCTCTGCCTCTCTGTAGCTCTGCCTTCCAAATAAATAAATAAATAAATCTTAAAAAAAAAAATGAAGTCTCTAGACTTCTCCCCTAATTGCAGACTTGAATATCCAGGAACTTCCATGACATACGGATTTGGTTGTCAAATACATCCCCAAATTTGGCAATTCCAAAAACAACGCTTCGATGTAGCACACACCGGCCCCTTCTGCGGTCTTCCCACCTTGGTTAATGGGTACCTCCTCCTCGCATTAGCTCAGGACCAGGCCTTTGGAGGCACCTGGGCTCCTTTGTCTCACAGTCTGTACTTACTTCAGTAGCTGGTGGAGACACATCTACCTTCAAAACATAACCATTTCCAAACTGCGTCCATTCCTCATCTCTTCCAAAACTGCCCATCTGGCTCCATCATCAACCCTGCGCCCAGTATGTTCTCAGCTCTCGGCACTCACTCTGAAGGTGCATCTCATTGTCTCTGAGCCACCTTTGTGTCTGTCCAAAGTCAGCTCACTAACTTGCTCTTGTTCCTCTCTGTCTTTTTCCCTCTGGCTGCTTTTGGGACCTCTCTTTGTCTTTTAGCAGTTTTTTTTTTTTATCATGCATCTTTGTAGTCCCCCCCACCCCCGTTGGTATCGGTTGTGATACACAGTGCTTTTGAATCTATGACTTAATGCCTGCGATAGTCTTGCAACATTTTCAGTTATTTCTCCATCTAAAACCTTTAGCTTTCTAAAAGCAAGTTATTGTAACATCTATGACCAACAGCTCTCTGGATTCCTCTGGTGTTGATTTCTGTTGCCAGGTTTTTCTCTTGATTTCTGATCCTGTCGCGTGTGCCTGGCTCCCTTGGATTGCATGTCAGGCGTTGTGTGTGAGAACCTGGGGCGGCTACTTGAGGCTTTCTCTGGGTGTTCCCTTTCTCTGAAGAGGGCTTTGCCGCAGGTGTGTAGGTTTCCTAGGACTCCTGGGTTATCGGAATCCAATCCAAGATCGACATGGCTTGAGATGACTTGAAAATGGGTTTTAGCGCCCCTAAGGTGTCCCAAAATGTATCTTTCTGACGGCTCAACTAAAAGTTAGGGGGATTTTCCAGGCCACCTATCCTAAATTGCTTTTTTGGCTAATACCCACCCCCCAAAAGACCTAGGCGCATACTAGGTTCCCCATTGGTGTGCCCTGAACTCAAACTTTTGTCCCATTGGACCCAGGAGTATTTTTAAAAACCGTTCAACTGTTTAGCCTTTGCCTTTTTATTTTAGAATTGGCAGATACCTCTTGGGGGAAAAGAAGCCCCAAGGGTTGTGCTTGCCCCATTGGAGTTTCTTCCAGATACTGGCCCCCAATTCTTGATTGCCTTTTTAGCATTTGATGTCTTCAAACGTGAACATTTAAACATATTTGGCCCAGCTGTCCTTGTTCTCAGGAGTAGGATTGTTCTGGATTACGTGCTCCGCCCTGACTGGGAGGGAGTTGAGCTTTTAAAGATCAAGGTGGGTGTTGTGGTGCGGCAGGTTAAGTCACCCCCCTCGACGCCGGCATCTCACATCCGAGTGCCCGTTCGCGTCCTGGCTGCCCTGCTTCCGACCCAGCTCCCAGCTAATGCTCCTGGGAAAGCGGAGATGCTCAAGTACTGGGGCCCTGCCACCCACATGGGAGATCCGGATGGAGTTCCTGGCTCGTGGCTTCAGCCTGGCCCAGCCCTGGGTGTTGCAGCTACTTGGGGAATGAACCAGCAGACAAAAGATTCTCTCTCTCTCTCTCTCTCTCTCTGTCACTTTGCCTTTCAAATACATATGTAAGCCTTAAAAAAAAAATAGATCCAGAGCAAGATGATTAATAGATCAAATAATGTTTCTCCTCTACCCAACACCCCCCCCCCTTCCCACGCCCCAGCATCCAAGCCCGGGGCCTTATAGAAGACAGGGCCTGGCGCCCTCGTCCCAGTGCTCCCTCCCTCGGACCACTCTCCCCCCTCACTCGTTTCTTCCTGCCACATGGGCCCCATTGTTCTTTGTGGCATGGGCAAAGCTGGCTCTGCCCCCCAGGACCCCTGCTCTTGCCTGCACCTGGTCTGATCTTCCTCCAGCTTTCTGCTCAGAAGTCTCCAGATCAGTTGGCCATTATTCCCTGACTGCCACCTGTCCGCCCCAGGGAGCACGCGGCCTCTGTCGGCTCCGTTAGTCTCTGTAGCACTTATCTCCACCTGAAACGTGTGTGTGTGATCACAATCAGCCGCTCCTGGGGGCACTGAGCTTGTCCGTCTTGCTCACGGCTGAGGATCTTACAGGTGGAGCAGCGTCTGGTGTGCATCTGGTGTGCAGTGGGTGCTTACCAAGCGAGGCGACTGGATGAAGGAAGGCTGCAGGCTGTGGACAATCCCCTTCCCTTCTGGCTGGCTCCTGAGCCAGAGCAAAGGGGGAAGTGATTGCTTTCTGCTCACCAGGCTCTTTCCCTTCCCCGTGCGGCCATTTCCCGTGGAGAGCTGCCCATAAGAGCAGGGATGGGCTGTAGGGAAACCCTTTGTGAGCAGGAAGCCCTGTGTGGGCTCAGGCTCAGCAGCGGGGATGAGGGCCGGGGTGCTGGAAAGGACCAGGGTGGGGAAATCTGCCCCTGGCCCCACTCCGAGTCCCATCCACCACTTCCCCCCCACCCCGTGTTTCATCGGCCATGGCCAGAGGAGAATTCCCCTCCCCCACCCACAGCGGGTTCCTCTAAGGAGAAGAGCGAGGCAGGGGTGATTCATGGGGAACTCTGGGGCTGATGAGTCACGGCCTCTCCTCGAGCAGGGAGACTTGGTCTCCACTCTGCTGACTCGCCTGGAAATGTCCTTGGCCAAGGTCTCCAGTGACCATGGGGGATTCTCCTCTGGACTCCCACGGCGCTCTCAGGAGCCACTTTCCTGGCCCTCAGTGGTTGGAGTCCTCGTGTGTCTGTTGCTCAATGACAATGGAAAGAAGGGAGGGAGGCAGGGAGCCCCCAGGGTGGGTAGGGGCCAGGATGCTGCCTTTTCCACTTCTGCGTCCCCGGCTTCCACTCAGCACATTGTTGGGGAAGCGAATGGGTTGAATAAATGAAGAAACATTTGGGGCTCCTGGGGCACCACATTCTAGGATAGCAGCAGCCTCGATAGGGCCTCGAGGGGGCACGGGTGGTGGGAGGAGTGGCATCCTGCTAGGGATGATGTTAGAAAGACCAAGGCAGCAGGGGTGGTGGTGGTGGCGCTGTGGTACAGGGGGTTAAAGCCCTGGCCTGCATCTCCAGCTTCCCCTATGGGCACCGGTTCTAATCCTGGCTGCTCCTCTTCCTATCCAGCCTGGGAAAGCAGTAGAAGATGGCCCTAGTACTTGGGCCCCTGCACCTGTGTGGGAGACCTAGAAGAAACTCATGGCTCCTGGCTTCAGATCGGCTTAGCTCCAGCTATCATGGCCATTTGGGGAGTAAACCAGCAAATGGAAGACCTCTCTCTCTGTCTCTCTCTCTCTCTCATCTCTTCCTCTCTCTGTAACTCTGCCTTTCAAGTAAATAACATAAGTCAAGAAAGAGAGAGAAAGGAAAGGAAAGGAAAGGAAGGGAAGGGAAAGAGAGAGAGAAAGAGAGAGATCAAGGCAGGCAGTTCTGGTCAAGCCGGGTGCTCGAGCCCTTGCCACAGTTTGGTCCCTGACCCAACCCCTCCCGAACTCTCCGTGGTGCCAGACCCCACAGGAGATCCCAGGCACATGGAAATGGAGACACGTGGCCCCTGACCTTGGGCTCACATAGCAGAGGCTGCTGGTGATCTGGGAGCTGTGGGTGAAGTGTGAGTAGGATGAGGGAAGATGTGGGGAGGAGGACAAGGCAGGGGGGCTTCCTGGAGGAGGTGATCCTGGAGCCCTGGCAGTCTGGGGGCTTGGGAATGATTCCTGATCCCAGGACTCTGAGAGATAATGTCCTGAAGCCAATTCATTGTTACCCAATAGATTCCATGGACAGAATAAAGGCCACAGGAGTCATTCCAGGTCCAACCCACTTGCCCTAGAACTGCATTCCTGATTCTCACAAGGGCCCCTGCGCTTGTCTTACTCATAGGCAAAAGAGTCAAAGTCCTTGTAGACTCTTCATCCTGAAACGTGGAAAAGATGAACCAAGAGACTCACTCCCGACCTGGAGCCTGCAGAGAGTGAACCTAGGACATGCCCACGACTGCCAAGTACCCCATTCCGGCCGCCATGCACCCTGACCTTGGAGCTGATGCCACACAGCCAGGCTGCTCTGCCACTCAACACTGGCTTCTCTGCTCTAAGATGCTCTCCTGGTGTGCAGAGCCCTGCGGCGTTAGCTAGGCAAGACTTAGGATCCCACGGAGGCCCTGGCTCATCCCTTCAAAGTCCCCTCATTTCCAGTGTCCCTGGCCAGAGCTAATGCCCATGAGAGCCCTGGCAGCTCAGGAGGGGGAGGACTCCTACGTCTCCTTTCTCGAGCACCTACTGTGGCCATTCCCTTTCCAACGTCACAGGGCATCGATTTGTTGCTGCCATCGGGCCTGGGTGGTGGGTTAATTACCACATCGTCACCAGGATCAGGGAGCTGGGGCCTGGAGAAGCAACAGACCTGCTGGCCTTTGGGGGATAAGTGCAGTGTGTGGCCCACGACCCAAGTCTGGCGTGGTCTTTCCACTGCACCACGCGAGACAAGGGAGGATGCTGCCCTCACTTAGGGGCTCAAGAGACCCCCCCTTTTTTTTTAAGATTGGGAAAGGTAGAAAGGGCTGTCTATGGCTACTAAATGAGATGCTCCCTCCAGGGTCCTGTGTCCTCGGTACTCAGTGCTGTGCTAGACTGCTGTTGAGCTGACTGTGAGGAGCGCAGAGGCGGGGTCTCCCAGTCTCTGACCTTCCGTAGTGACAGGGTTTCAGCTGGGAATACGGCTACGTCCTTCACGTCCCGTACAGCCAGGCCTCAGGTGTGTGCACGTGCCAGGGAGCGTCCTTACAGGGAGGGGAAACGCTTTTCTCCCTACTTTGTCTTCCCTGGGGTCTGGGGTACAGAGTGATGGCTGGAGCTGAGGCAGTGGTACTAGGAATGGTGATCAAGCAGCAAGATGAACCCATGCCCAGGAGGAGCCTGGGTCCCTGGGGACTGCTGAGTGACACTTCTTCATGGCGTTTTTATATCCCTAATGGCACCTTCTGCCACTTTGTTGAAGACTTATTAAGAGCATCTAGTTTTTGCTCACAGCTTGATGAATCTCATCAAATGCATGCAGTTGTGTATATATGTGAATGCTGACAGTTGTCTACAGAATGTACAAGGGGGCTTCAAGAAGTTTCTAGAACAATGGAATTAAAAGATCGGTTCAGGGTTAGGCGTTCGGTGCACCAGTGAAGAACTGCTTGGGGTGCTCGCATCCCTTATCGGAGTACTCAGCTGAGGCTGAGTTCCAGCTCTGTTTTTGATTCCAGCTTTTGGCTGATGGGCACCCTGGAGGCAGTAGGTGAGGGCTGAGGTCGTGGGAAACCCAGATTGAGTTCCGAGTCCCTGGCTTCCGCCTGGTTCAGGACCAGCTCTGGTGGGCATTTGGGAAGTCTGCCAGTGGATGGAAGATCTCTTTCTTGTCTCTGCTTTCCAAGTGAAAAAAAAATTTTTTTAAAGAACTCCTAGTTTTAAAAAAATGAATTTACTTTCATAGAAATTATTATTATTTTTTGGAATCCACACATAGCTTTTCCATAACAGTCATTTCCCACCAACCTGCTAAGGACGCCTCCTATCCACCCACACGCATTCAGGATACAGGAATTCCCTGTGCCCTTTCCCAAGCAACCCCTCCTCTTCCCAGTCAATGAGTGGCAGGCTTTCTGGCACAGTAAACAGTCTGTGGTTTCCAGAGCTTCATGTAAGTGGAATCGTATGGTATTTCTGCTATTGTGTTTGGCCATTTCAATCCACAGAATTTTTATATTAATCCATGTTGTGGTATGTATGGGTAGCTTTTTTTTTCTTTTTACACTAATGGCCTTTGTCTTTCAGAGCAGTTTTTGGTTCACAGAAAAATCAAGCAGGAAGTATAGAGAATTCTCAGGTGCTCCCTGCTCCCCTATACACAGCCTGCCCACCTCCCATCTCCTGCTCCAGAGTGGTAGGCTGGCTGTAATCAGTGATCCTTCGCTGACACGTTCTTACCACCAAGGGTCCCTGGATTATAACAGGTTCCTTCGTGGTGTTGTTTGGACACACATAGGATGCCATGTGTCCACTATCATGCTGTCCCCAATAATATTGCTGCCTTAAAAATCCTCTGGGGGCCAGGGCTGTGGCATAGCGGGTAAAGCCTCCGTCTGTGGTGCCGACATCCCATATTGGTGCTGGTTCTACTCCTGGCTGCTCCTCTTCCGATCCAGCTCTCTGCTATGGCCTTGGAAAGCAGTGGAAGATGGCCCAAGTCCTTGGGCCCCTGCAGCTGTATAGGAGACCCAGAAGAAGCTCCTGGCTCCTGGCTTCAGATTGGTGCAGCTCTGGCTATTGCGGCTATCTGGGAGAGTGAACCAGCAGATGGAAGACTGACTCTCTCTCTCTGCCTCTGCCTCTCTGTAACCCTTTCAAATAAATAAATCTTTAAAAACAATCCTCTGAATGCCACCTGTTCATCCATCCCTCCCTCTAGGCCCTGGGAACTACTGGTCATTTCCCCCTCTCCACAATTTTGCCTCCTCCCAAATGCTGCAAGGTTGGGGCCATATGATAAACAGCATTTTCACCCTGGTGCCTTTAAGTCTCTCCAACATCTTCTCCTGGCTTGAGAGCTCATTTCCTCTGAGCACTGAACAATGTTCCATCGCCAGGAGCCAGCACAGTTTATTCACTCATTCACAAACCCAAGGGCATTTCAGCGGCTTCCAATTTGGGCCATTGTGCATAAGAATGACAGCAACTTCCACCCGCAGGTTTTCTTGTGGATGTTACGTATTCAGCTCCTTTGGGTAAAAACCAGTGTGTGCAGTGGATGGATGGTGTGGTAAGAACTTGCGTTCAATTTTGCAAGAAACAGCTCGCTTGTCTTCTACAGAGGCTGGCGCATTCGGCATTCCCCCTGCAGCGACCGAGAGCTCGCGTTGCTCCACGTGCTTGCTGGCGTTGGTGTTATCAATGTTCTGGAGGCTGGCCGTTCCAATAGGTGTGTGTGTTGCCCCACTGTCATTTTAATTTGCATTTCCCTGCTGAACGCCTTTTCCTACACATATTTTCCATCTATCTTCTCTGTGAGGTGTCTGTTCTGGGCTTTCATTCAGGTTTGTTTTTTTTTTTTTTTTTTTGACAGCGTAAGACAATGAGAGAGACAGAGAGAGGTCTTCCTTCTGTTGGTTCACCCCCCAAATGGCTGCTACGGCCGGAGCTACACCGATCTGAAGCCAGGAGCCAGGTGCTTCTTCCTGGTCTCCCATGCGGGTGCAGGGCCCAAGCACTTGGGCCATTCTCCACTGCCTTCCCGGGCCACAGCAGAGAGCTTGACTGGAAGAGGAGCAACCAGGACTAGAACCCAGTGCCCATAAGGGATGCCGGTGCCGCAGGCGGAGGATTAAGCAAGTGAGCCACGGCGCCAGTCCCTTTCATTCAGTTTTAAGCAGGCTGTTTACACGCACACATATACGTACCCACACTGGAATCTGCACGCATATGAATTCATGATCGCCCCCCCACACACACACTCCCAGCCCCTGCCCCCATTGCTTTGTGAGGCTGCTTTCTCCTCCTCCCCTGGGGGGTCTTACAAGACACCTTCTCCAGGGCAGCCCCTCCCTCCACTTCTCAGCCTTGTTGCCCCATTCATGGGCCTCCTACCGCTCTCCACGATGACTGTGCCCACACAGCCACCTTCCCAGAGTAACAGGAATCTCTTGGGGCCGCCCCCTCTACTGTAAGCATCTATTAGGCGGAGGCCACGCCAATCTGTTCCCAGCCTGTCCCCAGCCCAAGCTCAGGCCTGGAACAGCAGGCGTCTAGCCGAGTAGTGAAGCCACTGGTGGAGATACTTGTGTCCCCTATCAGAGCACCGGGGCTGAGTCCTGGCCCCAGCTCCTGACTCTGGCTTCTTGCTAATGTGCATCTTGGGCAGTAGCAACAATGGCCTGAGTAATTTGGCCTCTTCCATGCACCTGGGAGACCTGGGTTGAGTTTCCAGTTCCAGTTTGCCTTGGTCCAATCTTGGCCATTGTGGACATTTGGGGACTGAAGCAGCAGATTCTCTCTCTCTCTCTTCCCTTCTCTCTCCTTGTCTCTGCCTCTCTAATAAATGAAGGCAACATTTTTGGAGGTGAATAAGTGAAGGAACAGGTCGCACTCTATGCATACCACCTGTCAATGGCACTGCAGCTTGGAGACAGGGGAGGACCTGGCCAAGCCAGAGCGGGAGTGGGGGTGTCCAAACTGGGCACCTTCTTCCTGCCCCACCGCTCAGGTCTTGTCAAAGCCAGCAGGCAAGTCTCCTTTCTCGGCTTTTACCAGGGATAAGGATCTGGCCTCTGCTCCTGGGTGGACTGGGCCCAGAACACACCTGTCTTCCATTTCCTGCCAGAGAACAGGCAAACAGGTGGGGGTGGGACTACAGCAGTGCTGACAAGTGTTTCTGCCACAGCAGGTGGCACTGACCTCTGGGGTACTGGCCTCCCCGGCCCCTCTGTTCCGCCTTGGGCCATGGCCGTGGACTGGGCAGAGAATCTGGAGCCCGCATAGATACTCCCCAAGAGTCCTCCTGCTCCGCACACCTTGGATTCTCACCAACGTGACTGGAGGCAGGAAGGGGACACGTAGCAAATCTGGGGAGTAGCAGGTGGCTTAAAACAGCTTGAAATGCGGAGTCCATCTTGTTTTCCCCTCAAGCCCCAGGTACCAGCAGCAAATTTAATAAAAATCTTGGGGCTGGAGTGGGAGCTGCCAAGACATTGAGGCAAAAGATTTGGAAACTCTTGAGCGTGTAGAGTGGCGTGATGGGTGCATAGTAAAGGAGACGCTTGGGGCGAGAGTGCGTGTGGTTGGTCTGTGTGTCACAGTGCGTGGCCATGGCAGTAGGCAGGGAGGGCACAGTCGTGTATGCTTGTGGCTGTGAGCACCAGCAAGGCCGTTGGTGTGATGGCCCAGATGTGACCGGGTGGTCCCAGCCTGGCAGCTGGCCCGAGGAAGCTGAGTGTGGGCTCATCTCCCCTGAGCCCCAGGGCAGCCAGTCTGGTGGAGACTTGTGGTCAGCTAAGGCACCCGCCAGGGCCATCTGGGGCCGAGATGGAGCAGGCCTGCCAGGGGGGCAGTGGAGGCTATTTTTAGAGGCCCGGGCTAGCTCCCAAATCCTCCAGACTATTTCTGGCACCAAAAGATTGTTCTGAAGGATGTGGAAAATTTTCGTGTCGAGAATGTCTGGTTTCCCTGTGGCTCTGCAAGGAGAAAGACCAAGGGCCAGGGTCCGAGGGCTTCTGGGAAAATCTATCAGCACTGAGTAGCAGGTGGCTTCACCTGGCCCTTGTGAGAGTCACCTGGACTTTTAGAAACATCAGCTTCCTTGTGGGCGATCATGTCTCCATCTTGCTTGCCGGGGGTGGTCCTGGCTTTAGCGTGGATGGTCTCTCATCTAGGACCCCTGAACCCCAACGCCCTGGGGCAGGTGCTCACCCTAGCTCAAGTCAGTCTCTGTTAGTTCTAGAAGCTGAGTGATAGTTAATAAATGGAACAGTATGTGTCCCCTTCTAGAATGTTCACAACAATCCCATGCGGTAGCTGGCATTATCATCTTCATTTCACACTGAGGCATAGAGAGCCACTGCAGCCCGCTTCCTGCCCTACAGCCAGCTGTGAGCCAGGATTTGAACTGTGCTGTTCTGGGCCACAGGCCCCTGTCTTGCTGTGTGGGAAGATAAGGCCAGTTAGGGCTGTGGCACAGCAGGTTACAACGTCACTTGCAATGCTGGCATCCCATATGGGAGCACTGGTTCAAGTCTGCGCTGCTCCACTTCCCATCCAGCTCCCTGCTAATGAGCCTGGGAAGGCAGCAGATGGTCCCCCGCACACATGTGGGAGATCCCGATGAAGCTCCTGGCCCCTGGCTTCAGCCTGGCCCAGCCCCGGCTGTTGTGGCCATTTGAGGAATGAACCAGCAGATGCAAGATCTCTCCCTGTCTCTGTCTCTGTCTGTCTCTCTGCCTTTGGAATCTTAAAAAAAAGAAAAGCTATGCATTGGGTCCTAGAAGAGCCTGGATTCAGTCCCTTCCTCCTGGGCCGGGTAGTGCTGGGGACGGAATGAGAATGGGTCAGCTGAGTCCTGTGTACCAGGCCTGACACTGGAGGTGCTGGGGAAGTACTGCCTCTGCTCCCCAAGGCTCCTTCCTTGCTGGGATGGCGAGAACCTGGCCATCTAGATTTGACTGTCAAAATCGTCCTGAGGTCCTGCCCGAGGCACCCCGGTACCCAGGGCCCCTGAATCACAGCTCTCGGGCTCCCTGATCAGGCAGGGCGGGAGGCTGCGAGTCACCAGCCCCAGCATGGCCCTGTTTGCCTTGGGTATCTTTGTTTTCCTGCACTTTCCTTAGCTGTAGAATGGGTTGATGCACCTGTCGTCATAGGGCTCAGGAGGGTTCCGGGAGGTCATGTGAGATCTGTTCTGCCCCCTTTTTTTCACCAAGTCCCTCTGTCCCCAGGCAGGAGGGGACTCGGATCGCCCACCCGCGGCAGCTGGGGATCAGTGCGCAGGGAGCGGATGTGCGTGCTGGGGCCGGGGCACGAATGGAATGCGAGATGCGCTGTTCCTTCCGCAGCCCGAGCGTCAGCGGTCGGCAGGGGCAGGCAGGAAGGGCCTCAGCGTTCCCAGCGGGCCCCCTCCGGGCTGGGGAAGTTGTTGAACAATGGGGCTGCACGGAGGGATCTGTCCCCGCGGGAGCGTGTGTGGCAGAGGGTGAGGGGTGCTGGGACCCAGAGACCTTGAGCTTCTTGGAGCCAGGGTGCTCCCCTAGGGGGACTGTGAGACCGTTGCTGGGTTTCCCACGTGTCAGACTAGTGGCTGCCTCTTGGAAAGTATGCCCGGCATCCTTATCTGCACAGGCCCATTGAGGCATACAGGATGGCTCAGGGCATCAGACCCTCTTCCTGCAGTGGGTTTGAGACAAAGGTGGGGCTGGGGCTAGGAGAGAGGCTGGAAACCTTGCTGTGTGCTGGGGTTCCCCAGTGTGTAAGTGAGCGAGCCCACACACACAGCCTCTGGAGGGGAGGAGCTTTGCAGGTACCAGGACGAGGCTGTGGGGACAAAGCTTCCCCACTGTGCAGGTGGGAAGGCAGAGGCACAGAGGCGCGTGGCCGCTCCTGCTTTAAGCACACCGTCACGGTACCAAAAAAGGAAGTAAGTCACTCAGAAGGAAGAAGCTGAGTTCCTTCTGCCTTTCTGATGTAATTGGTACCCTCAGGCAACCAAGGTGATGTTGATGGAGGAAGTTGCTGTTTATAGATTTACTCTTGCTTCAAAATGTGGACCCAGCTGTGGAGCTGGAGCCTGGTCATGTTCCACCCCTAATGGATGAATGGAATCGGACCCTGGACGGCGAGGACTGCGCCCATCCCTGGAAGACGAGCAGGCAGTGAGCCTCCACAGGGACCCACATAGCAACCTCTCCACGAACTCGTCTTGCCTCAATCTCAGAGCCGAATCTAAACAAGCCTTGCATTCAACCCGCACGTTCCAGGAGCTGATACAGGACAACCCCCAGAACTGGTTGGAGGAGTTGCTATAGAACCCCCAAACTGGGTCCACTTGCCTACCACACAGCAAGCTGATGGGTGCCACCAGGGTGCTGGGAGACAGTAGTTTATTTACACACAGAGCAAAGAATGAGGTGCTCATGCTCTATTCCTGGACTATCTGAGGGATTAAAGGCAGAAAATCTTTTTTTTTTTAATATTGTTCATTCTTTTTTTAAAAAAGATTTATTTATTTGAAAGGCAGAGTTACAGAGAGGCAGAGAGAGAAAGAGAGAGGTAGATCTTCCATCTGCTGATTCACTCCCGATGGCCTCAACGGCCAGAGCTGGGCTGATCCAAAACCAGGAGCCAGGAGCTTCTTCTGGATCTCCCAAGTGGGTACAGGAGCCCAAGGACTTGGATCATCTTCTGCTGCTTTCCCAGGAGCATTAACAGGGAACTGGATCAGAAGTGGAGCAGCTGGGACTTGAACCGGTACCCATATGGAATACCAGCTCTGCAGGCAGTGGCTTTACCTGCTGTGCCACAGCTCTGGCCCCCAAAACAAAGAATCTTATGGTCCAAAGTTGGGTGGGAGGGTGCAGTGTAGTGATCAGCTTGTGTATGGGTCTCTGATTGGTCCACAGAGTGCGTGGCCTTCCTTTGATTGGTCAGTGATCGAGGCCCACTGTTTCCTTTGGAATGATAAGAGTGGGCTCCTGCCTGTTGGGGTCTGAAAGGAGACTGGGTATCACTTTGTTCGGTGGGGCCTCTGAGTTCTGTAAAGCTCTGGAACAGAGGCTGGCATGGAGATATTAACTACGTTAACCATAGCAGCAACTCCAATCTGTAGGATGCAGGGTCTCAGTCCTGGCTTTACCCTTGTGTCGCTCCCAGAAGCTAAGGCACTTACCTTTACAGAGGAACTGCAAGCTAATAGAGCGATCCTGGGGCCCAAGAAAATCCACAAAGGCACTAGGAGCAGGTACTCAGCTCCAGAGCTGCAGGGGAGAGAGGCACGGGGCGAGTGGCACCACAGGGATGCAGCCAGGAAACCTCAGCTGTGGGACACTCCTCAGATGACTAGCGGGTTTCTCCTACACATCAATTGCAAGGAAAGAGAGAGGAGCAGGCCTTTGGCCTGTGGTAGACCAAGTCCCCAGCTCCTGGCCATGACCCTGGCCTATTCTCAGTGGTTGTGGGCACTGGGGGAGTGAAACAAACGGTGGATGTGCCCCTCTCTCCATCTCTGTGTCTCAAATGAAACAAATTGAAAAGTCACATAACAAAGACGGGAACAAGAAATAAGGAAGTAAATAAGTAGACAAAGGGAGGGGCGTTTATGAAGTAACGAGAACTGGGAGACCTGTCGGGCAGTTGCCAGGTACACAACTCATCAACACGCTGGTCAAAACAAACTGGAAAGCAGCTGAGCGAATGAAAGGCAGCGGCGAATAACCAGGGAGTTCAACTGGAGCCCTGAGGATCACCTGCCCAGGCCCAGGGGTCTGCTAGAACACACAGGCGATTTGGAGACTCCTGGCTTGGGGCAAAACGGCCGCACCGCACGGCGGTCTGCCTCCTCCCCAGAGCTCCTGGGGGCAGAAGTCAGCTGGTGGAAGCGGGGAGCAGAGGAGGGGGCAAGCATTTTCTCTCCTCCGTTCTCTGCTCTCAGGGTCATCTTTTTTTAGTGCCTGCGTCTTGTAGATAGGCAGCGTCTGACCTTTTGGGACTGCCTGCCCAGAGCCCTGTGTTTAAAATTAGACCCCTGGAGCCAGGGGCTGCTGTGATCCTGTTGCCTGGGAGACGGCGTCAACAGCACGCTCCTGAGCCGGGACACAGAGCCCATGCCCAAATCTGGGCGGCTCCGGATGGCTGATGTCCCAGGCCTCTGAAGGTGGCTTGGCTTCGCCAAACTTGAGCAGAGGCCTGCTTGAGCCAGGCCCTCGGGTCCCAGGTCACAGGGACCGGCGCCAGGACTCAGGATTAGCACTCTGGTGTGGAGCCCCAGGCTCTCGTCTGGGGAGGGTCTTCTACCTCCCAGGGGCTCCACATTTAGTAAGAGATGAGCACGATCAAGGGGAAGGGTAAGACTAACTCAGTAGGGCTGAGGATCAGGGAAGGCTTCTTGGAAGTGGAGGCAGTTGGGCTGCGTCCTGAAGGGTGAGTAAGAGTTTGCTTGACAGGAGAGGGGGTGAAGGGAAAAGAGCGCTTCAAGCAGACAGGAGCCAGCAGAAGACACAAGAGCAAGCGGTTCCCTGGGACCTGGCTGCAGGGCGTGGGTGGGAGCCGTGGTAGGAGAGGCAGCCGGGGGGCCCTTGGAGGGGCTGAGAACACACAGACATATGCACACACACGTGCCGCAGGCCAAGAAGGAGATCTGGAGTCGTCTGGCCTGTGTTTGCACCCTGATTGTGGCTATTCAACCTTGGACAAGGCCCCTTGTCTGCCCACTGGGCAGAGAAAGGCCGTGTTAAGATGCTGTTCAGGATCGAGGGTGCAGAGCCCAGAGCTGTCTGTGGCATCCACGCCTCATTTGCCGTGACCCTCCCACCGGAGGGCAGGCCCAGCCAGTCGGCCTGGGAACTCCCTGGGTGTGGGAAGGGGCATGGTGGGGCCAGGCTGAGGACAGGCTGGCTCAGCCGGTCCGGCTGCCACTGAAGCAGGCAGGTAGCCTGCTGGGGACTCCTTCCCTGTTCCCAGGGGTGGCTCAGCCCCCTGCATACTGAGGTGGGAGTGAGGGCAGGGGATGGCGTGGGGTGGGGGGCACAGCGAGGACAGCAATCAGAGGCCTTCGGTGAGCCGAGGCTGTTGGACCACTTATTTCCACACACTCTCACTTAACTCTCAAGCACCCAGTTGCCTCGTGGCCATGTGACAGGTGAGGAGACCGTGGGCTCTATTTGCACACAGAGGACAGAAGAGATTTCAAGTCATGGCCCTCGACTCTCTTAGTTGCTTCTACACTGAGGCACATTTTGTCTCCAC